AAAAAAAAAAAAAAAAAAAAAAAAGATTAAATGAGGTCATAAGAGTAGGCCCTGATCTGATGAGAGTCCTTACAAGAGGAGGCACACAGAGTTCTCACCCCCTCCCCTGACCCTCAATTCATGCACCAAGGAAAGACTTCCTGTATTTGTATGTCTGATGCTGAGCAAATGCTGACTTATCTTTTAACAAGTGCTTGTTAAATGAATAAGTGAATGAATAAATGAAAATCTGCATAGAAATCACTGTTTTTGTGTCAATAGCAGAAAACAACTGAATGGTACATCTGGCCTGGAGCCCCAGCTGAATCCTCAAGTGCACATTCAAAGACCAGGAGAACATCATATCGAAGAACAAGAGGAGTTAATGAGCACAGCATAACAAAATTTAATTAAAGCTAATTGAAAAATATATGCATAAGAGCTTCCATTTAAAAAATTTCCCTTTTATTTTTTGAGTACAACATGACATTTTTCTCTATTTGATTTTTGAAACATGTTAGGAAAATTACAACATAAAGAGTTCTACCAACATTAAACATAACAGTAAAAAAAAAGTGCGTTCAAACACAAAGGTGTTAACTAAACACGTATTCGAATACTAGATAATACAAAGCAAACAGGCATTCAAAAGCAACCTGAACAAAAAGAGAGCAAAGCCTATGATTTGACTTTCTAATGACTCCTTTAGTGGGAATGTTCTATAGGATGCACATAAAGTAGTTCAGGAAGGTCAGTGTCCTGCAAGGACAGATGCTGAGGCTGACTTTAGAGATTAGTTTTTAAATGTTGCTATTACTATTATTATTTACTAAACCCTGTCAAGGAACAAGACTTCCTCTTTCTTCTGACCGTTGTGTTTCATTCTGGTGGGTCACAGAGTATTAGCTGCTATTTCCTCTGGTTGAATGAATATATCCTTCTACCTGTATTACATAAAATCAGATGCTTCCTAGGTTTTAGCCACCAGTAACTCCAGGTAACCATGTGTTTCTCAGTGTGCGATATGTTACGGTTTCAACTGGCGCCCAGGTGAAGCTGTTTTTCTCACCTATCTTGGAGCCAGCTAAGCAGAGCATTTGTCCAGACACTGTTGGTATTCCCTGAGCACTCTGCAACAGGCAGAAGGCTTTGCCTATTTGGAGCACATGAAGGGGCTTTATGCAGGTGATAATTCAATGTTCCAGCATATCTGAATTGCAACTCTTGCCTGAGCAAGATGCTTTTTTGCATAGATACATATGCACTCACACACACACACAGACCCCATATACACATACACACACTTGTGATTCTTCTATAAGCCCTATCAATATTCTAAACTAAAGACCTACAAAGAACAACTTAGAACAGGCATGCGTTTTGCAAAGCCATGTACTAATTGAGGTCCTGCAACTTAATTTTAGAGGCAGAGAGTTCTAGGTGAAGATCATTTATATTTTTTTAAATTCAACTTTCATAACAATTAAACAGGTTTCCATAAGGATGGAAATATTTCTGCGAAGCCTTTTCATTTGAACCTACTGATCTATTTACTGCAATTTAATTCAAAAAACATTTATTGAGTGTCTAATGTGTTCCAGGAACCACACTGAGTCATCTGCCTTCTGGTCTCCATGTGTTCAGTGATGACACATGTACCTAAGGAGATCGTTAAGGCCAATGAACATAACCATTCTGTCCAGGCTGTGAAAGCCACTATCTTCTTTAAATGGATGTCCACCCCGTATCTCTTGGACAATTTAAAACGATAACAGCAGTTCCTGCCTTCACAGGCTGAATGGTATTTTGCCCCCCAATGAATCAGTCTTCCTCCCATTCCTCACTGTGAATTCAGATCCTAATGCTCTTCTAGGATGTGGAATGCAGGTATCTCAGCCTTCTCTAATTTCACAGGAGAACTGATGCATTTTGAGTGGATAGTATCACATAATATAATTGGAAGATCTTCCCATATAGAATCCTAATTAATCTTTTAAAAATATTACTTGCTGAACATGTTATGCTGTAATTTTTCTCCCTACAATTATATAGCATGTTGTTCATCAGTAATTAATTTGGGGAATATTTTATTGGCAGGGATTAGAATTTTTTTAAAAGGTGAAAGAAATATGCATACTATTAACTGAAGCTATTGTGAGGGACATTTGAGGTAAAATGAATGAATTGTCTCAGAAAATTTGGCTTTGTCATGATAAATATTACAGTCTGCTGTGCAATACCTTTTAAAAATATGACTATTTTTAAAATAATAGGATTTGACATAAGAGATAAATGATAATTTAGGATGAAAAAGTACTTACTTTTGTGCATTGATTCCATCAATTGCTTGAATCATCCTTTCATTCAATTCTTCTTCAAATCTTTTCTTTTGTGATTTAGTTCTATATGAAAAAGGACACATTATGGGTAAGAATATTATTACTAAAGTCAATATTAGGCCTATGTTTCTGTGATGTCAAAACCTCTGTTTAATTCTCTGAATAGAGTAAAAAAAAAGAAAGCAATAACCTAAGAGCAGCCCTTTCTCTACTGATCGAGTGACTGGACCAGAGGTTTTGGTACATTGACGATCTTGCTTTACCATTCACTAAGAGTGAAATGTACCAGGCACTAGAAAGTAACACTGATAGATATGTGCTTGGTGCTTGAGATAAAAGAACTTTCTCTCTTAAGACATGCATTAGCCCTTGACTTGTTACCTTCAGAAATTTTGTTTCATGACAGAACACACTGGCTCTAAAAATTCCCCTGCAAAAATTTGGTTTGTTTGACAAAATAGTCATTCCTTTTTCATATTTTCCTTGGTCCATTTTTGAGAATTTGCAGAACTACAGTCTTATTTTAGGCATAGCAAAGCTTAATCTTATGTATTTAAATGTTCTTCAGTTTTCACAGAAAACCACAATTCACAGAAAACTCCATGTATACTCATATTTACAGATCACTTAAGCTGGTGTCAGAAGCAAATAATATTTAGCCATGATAAGATGCCTTCTAAATAAATTATGACAAATAATAATAAGAGCTCGCCAAGGTTAATATAACAACTCACATGGCAATGATGTAAAGGAAAAAACTGCAGTAGCACCTATTTTTTAAAAGCTAAATATCTGGCTAGCCTGAACAAGTCTGTGCCTAAGACTTGGCTTAGGCAAGGCTTCTGTGTGTTCTGGTTGGTTAAATTACTAATTGAAAAGACTTTCTAATCTGGAATAAAAATAACACTTTTCTGAATTCAGAATTGCCTCCAGATACATATAACAATAGTGTTAAATATGCAAAGTCACATTTACTTGAAATTAAATCTCACAGAACTATCATTAATGAGAGGGACAGGTTTTCCAGTCCCACATCCTCTGTTGTGAACTGTGCCTCCATGTCCTGCCTTCTTTAAACAGGACGAGGGCAGTCTTGTTCAGAAAACAGAGCTATATTAAACGATTCACCTACAGTTATGGAACCAACTGAATTAAGGGACGTTTAGCATACCAAATTCCAGACTGTTTAAAGAAAGCAAATTAATTTTTATCCTCAAAAAATCAGAGAACCTCCAGTCGTCTAGTTTGGCTCACGCATTCTCAGTTACAGGTGAGGAGTTACAAGAGATGGGACACTTAATTTTATCTTTGTCAGTCCTACGTCTAGAATTGAGTTTCCTGACTTCAGTTTGGTGGCTTTCTCTTTTGCAAAGTCTCACAAAGTCTAAGAAGAAATAGTGTAGGTGCTTTGAGGCTCACAGGAAAATGCAATTCTTCGGTATTATGTCCAGGGCTAACAATGGCACTGCCTTTGCTAATCTGTTTTAACATCAGCTTAGATAATGCTTGTACAGAGCTCAACGCCATAAATGTGGCACACTGCGTCATGTTATGCATATGTCCAGGGCTAACAATGGCACTGCCTTTGCTAATCTGTTTTAACATCAGCTTAGATAATGCCTGTACAGAGCTCAACGCCATAAATGTGGCACACTGCGTCATGTTATGCATAATTTGAATTCACTAATTATCTGGACAGCAATTCTTGACATAGACAGTTTTCTTGTCTCCGTAATTTTGTGACCTCTGCTGTGGAGATAATAAAGTACTCTTGGGACTGATTATCTACCCGGCAGGAATTCTCGATTTGGCAGTCAGGGCTTTGTCCCCTTCGTTCTCATCATCACTGATTTTCCTGTCCTGTGCCTACCTCTGGACCCCACCACGGGCCTTCCCATTACTCTGGGCCCCTAATCCTTCCTTTCACTTTGTCTCCCTTCTTCCTCCCAAGCTCCTTTCCCAGACCTGCAACTCCACCATGCCTGGGCTTTAATGTCGAAGGAGGCATGGAGAGGGTCCTGTGACACCAGCTCCTGGGCCAGGCTGGAGGCTCAGAGAGGTTTTATAAGGTAGTCCACATTACAAAGCCAGGAAGTTCGAAGGAAGCCAGGGGAGTCTGACTCAAAAGCGGTGTTCTCTCTGTGAGGTCTTGAGGCTGCCAAAGACCAACAACCACAGAGAAAAGTGGAATAAATATGCAAGAAGCCCTTGGTAAAGCAGGCAAGACAGAGGAGCAGTTAGGAGCACAGGTTTTGGAATCACAGAGCTTTGGCATAAATCCTGGCTTCTCCACCAGCCATGTGGCTCTGGGCACTCTCCTAA